CCCCCCCCCCCCAAAAAAAAAAAAGATGAACGTGGTGTCGAATCAGGCATAGAATGAAGCTGTCCATTACCTTGAACGGCGAATGACTAATTTCCAGACAGATAAAAGGTGGTTCGTTTTTTTGTTCGGTATTACGACTCGGCATGCATTTTCGGAGATCACATGAGAAAATGCTACTCCGAGGGGTTGTATCGAGTAAATGATGAGAGCTTAGTGAAAGAGGTAATCCCGAGGATATTCCAGACTCCAAAGTGAGTTCGGTAAATGATAGCGGTACGAGAACGTTTGGGTGGTCAATTTGACAAAACAGCAAACAGTTTTACCTGACACACGGGTATGTGTTCGGGCATGAGTGCCACCAATCGATCGATCCAAGCACGAGGCTCACGTAGTGGACAGAAATCCGTCACCACGCAACCAGCGCGTAGTTCGGTCACTTTGGCTAGGACTGCTCTGGCCACGGACTCCTCACTGAAACCCAACTCGGCCTCACGAACCTCAGACCAGGCACGTTTCTGACCCGGCTGTACAGAATTGTTCACTTCCTCATTGGCTTGGACCAGATGAAACGGAATATTGAGTGCGTCCGATTCCTGTACATGCGACGTAAAAAGAAGAAACAGAAATGGAGCACATCAAGCATGCAGCAAAAGTGTAGCCGCGACACAATCATTCGCAATATTCGTCAAAATTAAAACAAACTAGGGTGGAATAATGGAGTAGAAACTTAATTCGAATCAATAGAATAATGGACAGGAAAGCCTCGCTAAGATTGCGTATTCTAAGGATTGGGTGATTTGTCATCCCACATGGATAACAGAGGTCGATCGATGGATTGTCGGTCTTCATCATGCGTCACCGAACCAATTTGGAAAATTTGGAATTGATAGGCAGCGTGGTTGATGCCGGTACACAGATGTACAGACCGACTAACGTTCACAGGGTGATATTCTGTCTAGAACGACTTTCTGAAGAGAGAAAAAACGCTACCGAGAGCACTACTTGCCTAGTCATGAGTTTCATCACAATCCACAACATGTTCAGGGTTCGGGTTGATATTCAGATTAGGCTGAAAGTCATTCATGAGAAAACCGAATGTTATTTAAGATCATATTATTATTATTATTATTATTATTATTATTATTATTATTATATTTCAAACCCGTCTGGAGCCAGACTGTGTGCCAAACAAACCATGGTATAATAAACTACATAAAAAGAAAAACGTTCCATAAGGTCATACGGGTGAAACCAACCCCACACATGTTTTATTGCGGACCCAATGCATTCAACAAACATAGCCCATCTGACAAGAGGCTTCGGAGTACACCAGTTGACACAAGCAAGCGTTACAAAAGGGCTAACTGGGTGCCAAGTGCGAACTCGCACCTACACGTGTAGCAACATCTGTTACTGCATAATCCCGGGGCAAAATTCTTAGAGAAAAGTTGATTGATCTTAATTGATTTACTACACTGTACGTAATAAATTTATTATCCAACAAAACTTGAAGTGAGTGAGTGAGTGAATGTAGAATAATCACTTTACGAGGGCTGAGCAAAACGTTTTGAGGATAATCAGTACACGACGAGCAAGAGGTGCAGATGTGCCCGGGTATGGAACACGTGAACTGTAATCTCGTATTGTGAAGCCCGCTTCGGCGTGGTCGAGTCAAAAGCTCCGGTTGTGGATTCATCAAGAAACCTCACCTGCATTGGCCTGGGCAACCTGGTCATATTCCGCCCACAGGTTAATCGTGGAACGTTTTTCTTTTTCATAAATATTTCTATACCATGATTTGTTTGGCACACAGTCTGGCGTCAGACGTGTGTGAAAATAAAATAGAATATCATTCGGAATTCATTCACATTGAAAAAAATTTGCACAAAAAATACGATAAAAATCATACTTATAAATTCGTGACTTCTTGCATTCCCAGTTGTGATTTCTGACTGGTGAAAATTTCACCTTATTCTTCAGGTCCAATAAAAT